CGAACTTATATTTGCTTTAAGTGAGTATCGATATGGCTGTCAACTTGACCTTTGCCCTGAACTTGAACTTTTTGTTGTCCTAGTCATTGATGAACTCGCAGCTTTATCTATTCTCTCATCCAAGATGTAGACATTGTACAGAACTTCTAACTTTGGGACACGTTTGTTTTGTTGCCTAGTTGCTTTCTTTGTTATTGTTTTAATTGTTTAGGGATGTGTTAATATGAATGCTCTGGATCCGTTACGTTGAGAGACATAGCTGTACCCAGTACTGTACCAGCTCGCAGTTTGGCGAAATTAATTAAACACACCCATTGATAAAAAAGACTAGGCAGTTATTTTAATTAATTCAGACGTTAACTGTTAAGTACTTGCAAGTCAGAACTGTGAAAGATAATTGTGCCTAGGCACTGGCAACCAAGAATCGTGATCTGTGGAAATTCATGAGCGCCTACGCCAGTTGGAAGGGTACGTGATGACGATGATGATGATATTAATGATGACTGGATTTGTACCGCCGGCAGGAAGGTGTGCGAGGGGTTGGGAAGAGAGGGGGGGGGGGGGGGGTCGTGATAGTGCCCAGTTACCAGTAAATCAAATAATTCCGTCACCGCAGTGGACTGCATGTTGCTTTGTAACCGTAGAAAGATTTCCTAGTATAAATCGCCGATTAGCAGGCCGGTGGACGACTTTGTCGTCGGTTGGGACAGTATTTGAGTCTGTCTACTTTGATCACATCACATCAACACTGAGGTTTTTTCAGGGCTACTTGGTGAAAGCTATGTTAAGCCATTTTATATGGCGAACATAAACCTTGTCACAATTATAACTGAAAGCTTCTTCTTTGGCGATGCTGGAATTTGCTCCTGTCGGGTTCCTATTCCTTGAGTTACTCTCCAAGGAAGCAGAACTGATCTTGCAGTGGATACCAGCCCGCTGTGGTATTCAAGGAAATGAGAGAGCAGATGAGTTGGCAAAAGCTGGGAGTAATCTTCCACAACCTCATCCACCACACAGCTACAAGGAAACCTAAACAGTGCTAAAGCAGTCTTTCAAGCGAGAGTGGCAAAGGCAGAATGGAGATTACAGACCAGAGAGTGACAGCATAAACAAACTCAACAGGAAAGAACAAACAACAATTTTTAGACTTCGGACAGGACACTGTGGTCTTCGAGCACACCTGTACAGGATGGGCATAAAAGAATCTGCTGCCTATGATTGTGGAGCAGAACGACAGATCCCTGGGCACATACTACAGTACTGCCCTAACCTCTCCCAGCAAAGACTGTGGATCTGGCCCAAGGGAGCCACATTAGAAGAGAAGCGACCTTAAACGCACAATCCTATTTGTGACCCAAACGGGACTCAAAGTCTAGCATGACTGATGTCGAACGCAGAAGAAGAAGAAATTCCTTGAGCTGTTAATTCTACTGGCAGCAATCCTGTTTAGACAAATGGCAGATAATCATGAGCTACTAAGTTAACTAACCAATGAAACTAAAAGTGATGATTTGTCATTGCAGCAACTGCTGACAAGTCGAGCAAGATAGCAACCCAGGTTTCGACCAAAGTTTTCAGCTAGAAGAAATGTACCAAGCTAATAAAACAGAGGACACTTGGGACAATCTGGCAAGAAACCAGCTTTGTAGGGAAAATCTCTTTCCAATCTCATACTGATAGATCCAAACCCTTTTCCTGAAAGCCTGCTGAGAAAACTGAAGACAGGGATGCTTTGAGCAGAGTGGCAAGCTTCACTTAGAAAGTCACGGATAATGAGCATACTTTGGATCTTTTCTCCAGGCCATGCCAGCATGGTCGGAAATGAACAGGCAGACAGATTGGCTGGATCTGCACCTCTGGGTGGTTAATTGATACATGACAAGGTAGATGTGATCAATGCCCTTTGGGAACAAGTAACAAGTTCAAAAGAGATAAACCTGATTATAATGGCCTGGAGAGAATGATGCACCTGGGTGAGACCAGAGGGTCTGGCTGGCTTACTATACTCAGAGGAAAGACAAGATGGACATATGACCAGACTATGACCAGTACCATTAGTATAGGAACTCTGCACTAGCTGCTGAAGATGGGGATGGAGTGCATATGGTAATGCCCTGACTGCTGGGATATCAATTCTTGACTCAACTGAACTCAACTTCAAACCCTTTTTTAAAGCTTACATGACATGAATATCAGTGCATTTGACTTCAGAGTGAAAACTGCTTCATTGGATTCACCTCTGAACCAATCTTTAATAATTTATTTTTTGAACCAGGATTATATTTTATGCCATCAGAAACTGTGATTGTTATTGACAATGTTTCCTTGTGACATGAACACTTGAGCTTTCTGGGATGAATCTGTTTCATATTTGCAGAAGGATTTCTTTAAGGTAACCTTTTATACCTCATTTGTGTTCATTGTTTACGTTGAGATGTTTAATTTAATTATTTCTTCTTTATTAAAAGATTAATTTACTTTGAAAAACAATGTGCTTTAAAACAAAACAGACAAAAGTCTAAGGCAGCTGAGAAAGAGGTAAGCAGTTTCATAAATTCAAAGTTAACATCAAGACAGGGACAGACAACCGCTGGTGTAAGTTCACCATTAAAGCCAGAGAATGGACATCTTTGAGATCAATTTTACTAAGCTTACATTATTATGAAGACTTACTTGACATTATTTGTTATCCATTGATTGGCATTGATTTGTTGATTGATTGGCACCTTTCCGTCTTTCCAGACGATAGTGTTATATTGCGCTACGAGGAGGCATGAGACTCACAGCCCATGGCTATGGCAAGTGTGACTAGCAAGACCCGCCCGTGTCAAAAAAAGCTTTCACAATGATAGCATGGGATGTTAGGACCATTGTTGTCAACATTTGTGATTAATCCATTTAATCCGTTTTTTAATTGAAGTTACTTGTTATCCATATCGACATTCTAGCACATTGGTCTGATCCATTCCTGCTCCGTCCTATGATGCAGCAGCCGCCTAAGTCTCTCCTTGTTCATCGCACCCAATAGGAGTTGACTAGTATGTCTTCATTCTTTGCTCTGCTTCCAGTTTCTACATTCTTGTTCTTGTTTGATGGCAATTTCTGTCAAGTGGTTCATCTCTGACTCCTTTGTCTCAACTTATCTTAAATGCAGCGCATTTAGTATGTCTACCCTGTTCACACTTCTTCCTCTGTTAACTACTGCACACACAGCTAGTCTATTAGCTCTTTTACTTCCTTTCACCCCTGCATATTCTGGTGTGTACAGCCGAGATAGTTTCGTGAGGTAAGCTTCTGGATGCTGTCAACCCATTCTAGTCCCAGAGTTTGTTAGTTTGGATCTTCTTAAGCATACTCTTTGAATCTGTCACTACTAATGCATAAGTTGCTTTTCTGTTCTGCTAGCCATATAAGTGACACCTGCTGTCTCTATCATTATGCTAGCAGTAAGTGAACCGAATGCGTGATTTTTCTTTTGCTCTTACCGTCTTCCCATTCACTTGCATTGTTTATACCGACTAAAACCACACCCCACAAATCACTGCACCATCTATGTAGATGATGATATCACATGACCAAATATTCTGATGGATAAGAGTCTCTATTTTAGCATCAGCTGTTGTTAGGCTCCATTCTGTGCAATACATTAGGAAGACTGTACTTGAGTAGATGATTAGTTGATATCACACGGACTAAATGGGATCAGTCAATCTCTCAGCTTGTCCTTTATAGAACATTGCTGTCTTCACTGCATGCCTGAAAGTCTCTCTTTCTCTTGCCAGTTCTCCAGCCCTGTGTGCTTTTCATAGCCAGTGCATATACAGTGTCCTGTATCCACATTCACGGAGGTCAACCTCTGCATTATTTTCCAGAAGCTTCACCCTCCTTCTCCTGGCTCTAGACCACCATAGTTCTTGACTTGACACAGATACCTTATCTTTAGGGACAGGCTGCTGTTTATGTGCTAATGCTCTTTGATGTTCACGTCCTGCAGATAGAAATCATTAAAATGGATACAGAATTAATCATGAGAAGTTAAATACATGTATCCCTTCTGATGTGTCTCTACTTTTGTGTGGTGGAAGAGCTTGTGAGTTGCAATGACCCCAAGACCAGTGTTGTCAGTAGCATAGTTTCTTGTAGAGCCTCTCATGTCAACAGGTCAAAGGGTAAGAGCCAGAGAAAGAAATGAAACCCTACTGCCTTGCTTGTAGATTGGGGACAGTCAAAGGTGACTAAAAACAAACCCAAATACTACTGCTAGTCAATTAAGTAAGTCAGATCAGTAAATGTGCATGCAACAATCAGGTTATTGAACAAGACCCATTTGTCCAGAGGTGGACGAAACAGCCAGAACTTTTCATCGGAGTTTATAGCTGTTGAAACACGAAACAGAGGAGGATGTAGTGAGCCACAAGCGAGACTATATCGTGCAATGTAACTTGCTTTTTGATGAAATACGTATAAACTTACTTCAGATGTTTAAATCAACATAGACTATAGGCACTGGAACATAGGGGCTGAGGTCCTTTGAGCTCCACCCCAATTTGTATTGGTGCGGGTGAAGGGGTGCTTAACCCACTTAGTAATTTTGTTTGGTGTCTTTAACCATGTACATATATTTTTAGTTTTAAAATATGTTGAGTAAATCCAATGGAGGCATACCTCATACCCAAAAGATGCATACTAAATTATCTTCTAGAAGAAAAGATAGTGAAAATAGCGGTAGCTGTTACATTCTTTGTACATTGAAATTGCTTTTAATTTTCTGTGGCATTGTTTGCTTTTTGTGTACATGAAAATTACTTGAAATTCTTATAGCATCCTTTACTTTCTGTGTACATTGGAATTACCTGTAATGGCTGACTTTTCTGTGTCTGTCTGTCTGCCTGTCTGTTCTGTCTGTCTATTCTGTTCTGTCTGTTATTTACATTCATGTTGCAAAGTGCTTATTAATTTATTATTTTTTTATAATTTTTTTTTAGATACATGTGTCTGAGTACAGTTAGAAAAATGGCTTCGGAAACTGACCATTTGACCAGAACAGCAAGCAACGTCAGAGAGAAGGTGATGTTTTTTTGTTTTTTTTAAATGTCTTTGTTTTTCTTTTTTACTTTAAATTCTATGCTGTGTAATTTTTCTTAGTTGACTTATTTTGTGTGTATGGTATAAGAAGCCTCCATCTTTTGGAATAAAGGTTAAAATTAGATTTTGAATGTGCAGGACAGAAACCATGGATAGGCAAAGACATGTACAGTATATAAATGTTTCAGTAAATAAGTGAATGTCTTATTTTTTGTGTTTGCTTTTAAAAAATGACGATTTTCACATTGTGTTGTGCCTTCTGATGCAATAGATCTGATTTCAGTAAACCTCTAATTCAGGGCCATTCAACTTTGTTTACTTCTTCTTCTTCTCTTCCACCTTGTACCTCATCGAAGTGTCGGGGGGAGATGTAATGTTCGTTTATGAGCTCTGTCAAGAGCACTATTAAGACTAATGTTCATTTCTGTAAGGCTTTTCTTAATACCATCACTCCATCTTTTCTGAGGTCTTCCACTTGCTTTATACCCATTGTAACTGTCACAACCCTATTAAGTACAGTCAGTGTACCACACCGTAAGGTGTGCACCCAGGGTTGACACAGAGGTCAGGGCCGTCACTGGTCAAGTCCGTTCTGTGATCGCACGGCGAAACCAGCGCTCAGGATAAAGCAAGAAAGCCTGAACTGTGTTTTAGTAACACGATGACTGCTTCTGGGACTGAGCTGGTGAACGGGGTTAAGAGACACGAGGGAGAAGGAAGAAGGACATTCGGTGTGCGTCGGTCAGGAAGAGAGGACGTTTAGTGACTGGATAGTTTATGTTATAGTATTAAAGTTAGGATATATTTCTGTTAGTGACTGGATAGTTTATGTACAGTTTTTTGTGTTAGGATAGGATAGTTCTTGTGTAGAGTATTTAGGATATGTGCTGTGAGAGAGTGGCTAACCTGGACACTCTGACCCTGCACTAGGACAGAGACTGTGACAGTTTGATTGGGTCAGCGTGGCGATAGAAGAGAGCGTATCCTGCCGGATTGTGGTTTGTACACCAGAGTATTGCCTGTCGCACGTACTGGGGACGGGGCGATTGTAAAGCCCGTCCAGCCAGAGGGTCCAGGCAATAGGTGGCCACACGGCGGGAAGTCAACTGTCTATGTATTACCTGTACTTCCAATAAAGATTGTCGTGTGTGCTCTGTGTGCGTTCGGGTTCAGTGTGTGTTGTAGGTTAGTCTGTCTGTCATAGGCCTAGTTAGCGAGCCACGGACCGGCAAGGTCATACCAGAGGTTTGTGACAGTAACGTTTTAGTGTGGCTTGCTGTGGCAGATAGTACCAGGGCATTCTTGCTAGGTGTCCAAACCACTTCATTTGTTGTTCTTTGATGACCTGTAAGACTGGCTTTATTCCTAGCGTTCGTCTGGGCTAGATTTGACCCATGGGCTGCCAGTTGAATAGCCCTGCCCTAATGAATTGCCTTTAATGGCATGCTTTTTAGGAAGACAGTGGGTCATTTCTTCTTTTTCCTTAGAACAGGACCCAGGAACCCACAAGTTTATAGTTTCTGTCATGTGTAGCAAATTATTATTCATTGTTTGATTGTTGTGTTCCATCGGAAGAGATACTGTTTATTGTTGTTTAATGTACTTGACAGAAGAGTGTTGATGAGGTTGGTTCATCTGGAGGAAGTCAGATCGAGATATGGTCAGATAGTGTGGTTATTTTGTTTTTGAAAATGAACTTTATGATCTTGGTATCAAACAAATATTAATTATGGATGGTCAGGTGGTAAAACTGTTGAAACATGAAATTTAACAGAATGTAATATTAACAGAATTGTAATGCAACAGGATTTAAACCATAATTTTTAAATCCTCCGTGTGGGTGCCGGGGGCCCTATTATGAGGAAAACAAGAATAGACCCACTGCCTACCCAAAAGCCTGTCGTAAGAGTCCACTAATTGGGAGCTTTCTTCGAAGTCGGACTGCATCTGCCTGAGAGGCAAGGAACCAACAGTCTGCACACGCATGTGTCAGATCTGTAAAATGGATGCACACGCAACACTTAGGTTCTGGAACAGGGCTGCAGTTCAGAAGTGGACGAACAACCAGAACTTTTCTTCCACCAGAGTTTACAGCTGGTGAACGCGAAGAAGAAGAAGAAGAAGATAATTTTGAAATAAAAAGAAATATGAACATTGTTGTAACTAATGACTATGTAGCATAGTCACAAAACAATTTTGAATTGAACAAATATAACATTAAGCTTATATGTTTAAAACGTCTGCATCTTAGTAAGTGTTTAAAGCCAAGACATGAAATTTCGTATGAACACCTAATAAAGGCTTGTTTCATTTTTCAGGTAGTTGCTAATGCAGAAATAAAGAAGATTGACAGTTTATCAAGCACAGTGAAAAGATTACATCTTTATGTTGAAAACAAAGATTTCTCTTTCAAAGCTGGCCAGTGGTAAGTTGTAAATATGGATTTTTAAAATTTTAATTTATTTTTGCTTTTTTTTTTTTTAAATTAAAAATGAAAAAAAAAAAAGAATGTTTTGTGTATCAGTGATGTTTCTATTTGGCACTAGGTGGAATGTGTAGTCATGTTCAGAACCACCTTAACAGCATCGTGGACCCCTGGTCACACCAGTGTCCCTGGGGAATGACCAGTGTCCCTGGGGAATGACCAGTGTCCTGGGGAATGACCAGTGTCCCTGGGGAATAACCAGTGTCCCTGTGGAAATGACCAGTGTCCTGGGGAATGGCAACCACTTACAGGAATGAAATGAAAATGGTCATTTGACAAACACAGATTTGCATCCAGTCCCTATGCTCGTGAGACACCTGGAGAAGTTCCAGCAGGCCCATGCATTAGGATGGGACTGGCTATGTCATTAGAAATAGCGCACATTTTTCTAGGATTGATTAGAACTAATACAGTTTACTTCAGTCAGAAATATGCACACTCGATTGCTTGTATTGAATATTTTGATGCTATTGATAATATTTACTATTACTTGATGTATAAATGAAATGATGTATGAATGCAATGATGTATGAAAGGAGGAAGAAAAGAAGGACAGAATGGTGGACGAGTCTGGGTGCCCATTTCTTTACTCTTTGAAAATAAAGTTTGTTCTTTTGTTCGTTCACCCACCATCACTTTACAGAATATTTCTTGGTACTAATTAATCAGTTTGGGGGTCAACCTGGGAGCTCCAGTCAATTCTGAACATCTGTATGCTCGGGTCAGATGATCAGCTGGGCTGCCTCTATGAACTCGTAACTCGTATGTCAGTTGCAGAACCTCCCTGAATCCCTGTTGCCTGCTCTGCCGACTTTGCTTTTGAGGCCAGATTTCTCTTTATAGGTATGAGTATAGTGAGCAGGCCTGCGAGCATCTGTAACTATGGCAACCAGGCAGGCTAGCAGGCGGACAGGCGTGTGTTGTAGGAAGAGGTGGGTGGGGGAGGGGGTAAGAAGACCCATTGCTACATAACAAGCATGTCATAGAAGGCGACTGATTAAGAATTATCTGAAATTGGATGTATTGTACTGAAAGTTGCAGAAATTACAACCTAGCTTTAAACTACAAGTGCCAACTGCCATTTTAAGGGTGAACACAGAAGAAGAAGAAGAAGAAGAAGAAGAAGAAGAAGATGAAAAAGAAGAAGAAAAAGATGAAGAAGAAGAAGAAGAAGAAGAAGAAGAAGAAGAAGAAGAAGAAGAAGAAAACTTCATTTATGATATTTATTACTAATGATGGTTTTACTCAATAGGGTTGACATGTTTATTCCTGGATTAGACACGGTTGGAGGATTCTCAATGTGCTCATCTCCTGACTTTCTGATCCGAACCAGAATTCTTCAACTAGCAGTGAAAGCTTCACCTCATCCACCAGCACATTGGGTCCACACACAAGTATGTCAGATATCAGCTCACACATTCTGTTTGAAATGAAGATGTTTTTTGTGATTCTTCTTATTTTTTTTAGAATTTTTTGGGTCTGCTCCAAACTGAATTTATTTATTTCATTCTGCCATATTTGCTGGAAAATGCCAAGAATTTTCTCTGTCTCTGTTTTACGGCCAGCTTTGTTGTTGCCACGTCCTGCCTGTCGTTTATGGTGGATGAAATGAAGGGTGATCCTCATCACTTGTCTTCTTCTTCTTCTTTGCGTTCACCAGCTGTACACTCTGGCGGATATTTCTGGTTGCTCGTCCACTACTGAACTGCAGTCCTGCTCCAGAACCTGAGTGTTGCATGTGCATCAGTTTTATAGATCTCATTCTCTTGAATACAGACTGTTGGTTCCTTGCCTCTCCGGCAGATGCAATCCGACTTCAAAGGAAGCTCCCCAATTAGTCGACTCTTACGACATGCTTATGGGGAGGCAGTGGGTCTATTCTTGTTTTCCCCATAATGGGGCCCCGGAACCCACACGGATGCTCATCACTTGTGATAGATGAACAACCATCTGCTCCAAACTGGTCTCTAGTCTCATCATCATCCTCAAGTGCCCTGCAGACTGGTGTGGGCCATCATGCATTTCCATAATTTGCAGTCTTCAACAGCATGTATCAATGCATGTGTTGACACCCTCCATGCCACAACAAAAGCTATAAATAGTCTTCTTGTATTATCTTTTCCTGTCTTTTTTTCCACAGATCTTTCCAATACTCATTATGTTCCTGTTTCCTTCTTCTCCTAACATGACCCAAATGATGACTGTTTCTTTCTGAAGTTTGTTGACAAGTTGTCTTCGAGTCCTTGCCTCTTCAGAACATCTGGATTGCTCTTTTTGGCTGTCCAAGAGATTCTGAGGATTCTTTTATAAAACATCTGGGACATTCTTCATTTTATAAAATGCAGTTTTAGCCTGTCCTGTTCTTTTCTTTACCTCTGTGATACATCTTCTTCTGTTCTCTGGTGTCATTGCACAGATCTCCATTCTCTCTCCAACTGCAGAAACCAGTGGAAAATGCAAGTACTGTAACCTCATATTAACATAAATAGATTAACTCTTTTGGAGCCAGCCTCTAATTTCTTGAATTCTTTGTCTCCTGATGAACAATCTTCTTTTCTTTCTCTGAGAAGTTCTTGTTGAATGAGCCAATAGTTGAGTTCAAAGAAGTTTTTTTTTTTTTTTAAACACACTATGAAACAGAATGAGTAAAACTAACATTTCAGAGTTGAGTTTCTAGAACTGACATCACAGCACTCTAGACATTCCCATAAACACTTCATCCCCATCTTTAGCAGACAGTGTAGAGTTCTAACTTCAATGGTACTAGTAGCAGTCGGATTGTATGTTATTGCCTTTCCTCTGAGTGTGGGGTGTCTGCCAGATCCCCTGGTCACTCCTTGTTGCACCTTTCTCTTCAGACCCTCATGATCTAACTGTGCCTCTGCACTGTTCAATCTCTTCCAAAGGACCTTGACAGCATCTAGTTTATCATGCATCAGTTTACTACCAATTGGTGCAGAGCTGGCCAGTCTATTGGCCTATTCATTTCTCAACATACCAGCATCCTTAGAGACAATATATAAAGAATGCTAACCACCATGGACCTCTGAAGCAGTGCTTGCCACTCTCCATGGAGCATGCATATCTTCACCTTTCTTAGCTTGCTTTGTGAGTCAAGTTACAATCACTACAAGTTTGTGCAGCTGATTCTCATGCCAATGGCAGGCTGCAGTGACTGCCTCTATCTCCAGTCTCAAATTAAATGTTTTAACAATTCAGATTAGTGAGCTAGTTTAACCCCCATCTGCAATAACAGCAGAGTCAGAAATATGTTCTGCCTTTGTTGACTAATTTCTTCTTCTTCTTAGCATTCACCAACTGTAAACTATGGATGAAATTTCTGGTTGTTTATCTACTTCTTTGGTCTTATTTCAGAACTTGAGCTGTGCATGTACATTCATGTTACAGTCTGGTTTATCTGTATGCAGACTGTTGGTTCTTGCCTCTCAGGCAGATGCACCCAGACCTAAAAAAAACACATCCCTAATTAGTCACTTGTTGCAATATACTTGTTAGGGGGGACCGGGTCCCCCCCTCCCCTTTTTCCGAACATAGGGCCCAGGAACTCACATGGGGATGGACTAACTAATGAACATATGAGCTCCATGGTAGGGAAAGAGTCCAGATGTTCTCTTCTTCTTCTCAGTTCTGTCCTTTGTTGTCACATGCAGCTCACTTCATATCTTCTCCACCTTCTTTTTAACTGCAGTCTCTAGTTCCCTTCTCTTTATTTGGGGGGGGGGGGGGGGGGGCGGTCTGCTTTCAAATTTAAGATATAACAAGGTCGAAATTCAGTGCACCACATTTGAGCTGACTAAAATTATACCTAGACTAGTAATGTTTGTTGGCTTTGTGTAGCAGACTTAGGCTCAATACCAGAGTGATGCTCAACATTTTGTTATTTCTAAAAATCTTACCATATTTAAATCTGATCGATCAGCCAGATGGAACAGCAAATATATTAAGAATGTAATCAGATACTTCCTGCCAGCTATGAGCTCTCACAGTGAAGTCAGAATGTCAACTGTATATCAATTAATGAATTAGAGAGTTAACAGTCAACATCTCTGCACTCTTACGGTCTGGGGAGAATGGCGCTGCGATGAGTTACCAGCCAAAATGTCAGCTGTATTTGAATTTATGAATTAGAGAGTTAACAATCAACACCTCTGCACTTTTACGGTCTGGGGAGAATGGCGCTGCGATGAGTTACCAGCCAAAATGTCAGCTGTATTTGAATTTATGAATTAGAGAGTTAACAGTCAACATCTCTGCACTCTTACGGTCTGGGGAGAATGGCGCTGCGATGAGTTACCAGCCAAAATGTCAGCTGTTTTTGAATTTATGAATTAGAGAGTTAACAATAAATATCTCAGCACTCTTAAAATTCCCTCGCATGTCCCCCTTTCCTTATTCATAAGTCAACAAAGAATGTTCATGCTGATGGTACTGGTGTCAACCTCATTTAAATTATGCCAATCATTTCCACTTCGCACTGATCAAAGCTTTTTTCCATAACAGCGCAGACCTAACTGCCAAACCTGGACGTTATCAAAGGGTCACCTTCGTAAAATTAACACCTGTGATATGAGATGTCGAAGGAAAGCTGCAACCTAATTATGCAATACCGAGTGAGGAAATCATATCATCACCACACCTTGCACCAAATTCATTGAGAAAGAGAAGATCAAAGGGTTTGATCTTCTTATTAGAATGCAGCTACAACAACTACCAGCACAAGGTTACAATTAAAATTATATGATGTAAAAGCAGAAGGATGCCCAAGAAGAAGATGGATTGATAACATTAAATGGCTCAATGGCAAAAGTGGAAATTGATTATGGTGATAATTAGGTATCCTTGAGACCAAAACGGAGGTAAATAACATGGGAAAGACAAAATTGAGTTGTATGAGATGGCAAAAAAATTGAATGGCTTGGCTTGATATTGTTAAGGACCTATCCTCAAGTGGAGGATAAAGGCAAAGGTTGAATCAGAAGAAAGAAGAAACTAGGTAGAAGAAGAATGAGAGGAGGAGGAGGAGAACAACAACCAAAGCACCAGGAGAAGGGGTAGAAGATGAAGAAGCAGAGATTTTACTTTTTAAGATCAAGATTTTTACTATCTGAAGATCATGTTAGCATCCTCCTGGTTGGAAGACAATACTGAGAAAAATCATATTTCTTTGAATGATTTATCTGTAAAACCAGATTTACGTAACTGATAATTCCACCTGATCCCTTTATCCACAATTGTACTTTATGAAGTATTTTAGGCTCATTTTCATCTGTATTTATGTTTTGATTTTTTTGTTATAATTATTCAAACTTTTCCTTTTGCTCGTCAGTGCCAGGTCGGGGACACCGTAAAGCTGAGAGTTGGTGGAGATTTTTATTACGACCCTCAGCCTCATACAAAAGATCATGACCTCTTGTTGATTGCCGGAGGCGTAGGTATTAACCCTCTGTTCAGCATACTCCAGCACTTCCTGTTTCTTCACTCTGGTCAAGTAGAAGCAGACGTGGGCAGCAGGTTCAGCCAAGACAAGAGTGTCTCACTTTTGTACAGTGCAAGAAATGCAGAAGAGCTGATATTTCAGGTTGTGTGCAGTTTTGGTCACTTTATTAGAATTGAGGTGTGTAGAGAAAATTGTGAAAAGCAAGGAAGATCAAAAGGTGTTAACTGCAGTGTGCTCTGCTAGGGGAATGTTTTGATAAGCCACATTGCTCTCTGACGAACAGTAAGTTGTTATGACACAGCAGAGACCAATATTCAGTTACATGCTTTTATTCGCTGAATCACAACATATCGTAGGCACACATTCTCCGGTCCTCGTGTTCTTTCTGCTTGGCTGATTCCGACGGCCTGGTCAAACTTCTCACACACTACATTGATCCATCAAAAACTTCCGAATCGTCCATCCATCCTTCAACGAAATCTTGTACTCGGTATTAAGACATGTAAGAAACATTCATATCTCCTCTTGAAACATAACAAGTATTCACAATTCCTTCATTCTCCTCATGCGTCCATTCATACGACCTCTCGCAACCAGGTCCGAACTTCAACTGTCTTACTCCTGTCTCTCGGTTTACGTCTTCCGTTCCAGTCTCACGCTTTTCTTGTATCCCTTTTTTTGCTTACCATGGGATACTTGAGACACACACTTATCTCGTTTTTCTCTTGTATCACTGGTCCTCTGACCTTGCCCTCCCCTTCAGGAACTCTCTGGGATTTCCCTGGGAATTTTCATTACATTACATTACCAGGTGTTCTTACTTAAATTCCTGAGTATAAAGCTCTTGCATTGACAAGCTTAGACCCTTTCGCCCCACAAATGCTAAAAGACAGTGGGTCATAAACATGTGGTAATTTCAAGAAACATTTTTGTTTTTTAAAAGAAGAATAAAAACCATATTACACAGGATACTAATCACTTGTTTACACATTAACTATTCTACACTTTTTATTTTTAAATTATAAAGATATATGAAGGAGTAATCAGTTAACATGAAAAGAATGAAGCATAAAATGGAAAACATTTTTTGAGATCACAAAAACAATATATTTCCAGTGACTCCTGAGGTGACCTCTACCACTCTGGCTTATAGGAAAATTTAATATAAACGTGGCTTTAAAAAACACATTTGGAGCATAAAGAAACCCCACTAAATGCTTTTATTCATATCCTGGCCTATTAAACACTGTGCAAGCAGGCATAGAACTAATGGAATTTAACTAAGCTTTTAGAGAACTTGTCACTGCAGACATGGTTATATGTTGGCTTTAACGGGACTGTGTCACAGTCGAAAGTGATTAGATTTAGTCTTCTCAGGGCGAGAGGGTTTATAGGTGGTAACAACAATGTATGATTGAATTCAAATATAACATATAGAGAATACAAACGTGTGCCACTCGTGGGTAAATTTTGAGGGCAGGTTTACAGTCCAAGCAGCATTTGATTAATGTATGTAAGTTGTACCCCACCAGGACATCACACGTAGCGATAAACACCCGGTGACACAAAGTGCCACCATGCGGATGAGGATCACCTGTGGAGAGGTCCTGGGAACCCCGTTCAGCCGTTAGGCCATATTTCAGGCCCTGCTATAAGCTGCATGTGATGTGTGATTGGCACCCTATCATAAACCATAGCTGTTACATAATATGGTGTCTTCATTTTTACGATTAGTCAGGGCCCGGGCTTCACTAGAAAGTGTCTAAAAAGTGTGCCTGTACTCACCACAAGTGTCTGTTACACAGCGCTTAAAAAAAAAAAATTCTAACCGTACCGGTTCTGCATACCATTTGGTACTATGATTCCATCATGCCATTTAATTCCCTGTTTTAAAAGTAATTTAATTGAACGATTCTTATAAAGAATGTGACTTTTTTGTTTTTAACTTATTTAATAGAACTGGTGAAAACAACTTGAGAGATTATTTTATCTCCTCTTCTAATGTTGAACACTCTTGTAGCAAATGGTATCTTAGTCTGGTATGTCCTTAACTGAATTAGTATATCATCTGTCATGTCCTACATTGATTGAGAACATTACTCTTCACTCATTTCTCTATATGATGATTTAAAGATATAGTTACTCTGCCTTTCACTAAGCTCTTTACCCACCTGCTTTTCAGTATTGTGGTAAGTTAATCTGAACTCGTATGACTGTGTTTGACTGATAACCCAGGTGAATGTATGACTGTGTTTGACTGATAACCCAGGTGAATGTATGACTGTGTTTGACTGATAACCCAGGTGACTGATCATGTGATTCTCTTTCAGACAGAGCTGATAGAAATGACCGAAAAATATGACAATCTTCTCCTGAAAATGTTCAGTACACAAGGAGCAGTTGAACACTGTAAATATATAACAGGTATATCCTTTGTTTTTTTTTATACTGCATTTGTTTTCAGTTTACTCTCCAGTTTTATCCATTGTTGCAACTGTCTTTTTTTTTTTTCAGACTGACAACTCCCTGTGTGGGTTCTGAGGCCTATTGTGGCAAAAACAAAAATAAACCCACTGCCTTCCCAATAAGCTTCTTGTAAGAGGCGACTAACTGGGGGAGTTTCCTTCAAAGTCGGAATGCATTTGCCTGAGAGGCAAGTAACGAACATTCTGTATGCAAATAAGCCAGATGTGTAAAACAGATGTGCATGCAACCCTAGGTTCTGGGACAAGACTTAAGTCCAGAGGTGGACGAACAACTAGAACTTTCTGCCAGAGTTTACAGCCAGTGAACACAAATAAGAAGAAATAAAACCCCTTTAGGTACATCCAAAAGAGTTACCTCCACTTGTGGTGCGTCACCTGGGAAAAAAGTCAGAAATGGTTAGTCACAAACCACTTACAGGGTGCAGCATTTGCTGTGTGTCTGTACAAGCATTGGTCACCCACAGAACTGTGTATATAGTCTTTGCTGCTTCCCTAGTTTGTTTTGATCGGTTGCTCCTTTGAGCCGGATTTCCTTTCTCACTGTCTTTCAAAATCTTGGCAGCCTTGTAAGGCATACTGTGGAGTTTGCCTTTTTGCTCCATATTTGAAAATAGCTGAGTGAGTAAGGCCCATTCAGTGAAGGTGGATTCTGAGTCACTGACCAAACAATGGTGCTTGTCTCAACGGGATGAGAAAGTGTAGTAGGTGGCACTGCTCATCATCATCATGTACCTTGTCAACTGGAGTGGGTGATCATGCCTCTCCACAACCTACCATCTGCAACTGTGTGTATCCATTCCTGTGTTGACACCTCTCCATGCATCACACAAGGCTGTCAAGAATCTTCTTCCATTGTCTTCTTCTACCTCTTTTTCCACAGATCTTTCCAGATGCCACAATGTGTTCCAGTTCCTTCTTATCCTAACATGACCCAACAGTGATGACTGTCTATTTCTGATGTTTATGATAAGTTTGTCTTCGAGCCCTAGACTCTTTGAAAATATCTGGGTTGCTCTTTTTGGCTGTTCAAGAAATTCTAATGATTCTTATGTAAAACCACATCTCAGAGGCCTTCAGATATTGTTTGGATTGTTACTGCTACCGCCGCTAAAATATGAGGTATCGCCTACAACAGGACCAATATCGTCTTCTTTTTTATGTTTGCTGGCTGTTCCCTTACTTCTGGACTTGAGTCTTGTTCCAGAACCTGAGTGTTGTGTGCACATCTGTTTTACAGATCTGAATTATCTGTATGCAGACTGCAAGTTACTTTGAAGGAAGTCCCACCCCAACCCCCTTCCTTTTCCCATTTTTGTTTGCCCTACAGTGCTGCCCCCGAAACCACACGGAGATCATGCAAACTTTAACTGCTTTTACCTGAAGCCATATGAAAAAGGTATTTTTACAAACAAGGGACATTATGGTCTTGAAGTGTTTTTTCCTAAAGATTAACACCCAATGATTCAGAACGACACTGTCTGGATGGGAATCAAACTGATCACTGTCTGAATGGGGAATAAAAGAAGACACTGTTTAACCCAACAGTACAGTTATATTAGTGCCCCCCCCCCCCCTCCTTTTGTTTCCCTTTTTTAATTGTTATTAAATATTCTGTATGTCCAGTGTGGTTTCGATTTCTAATATTTTGGTGGTATTTCTGTATGACTTATTCTTTCAGTGCATGCAGTATTTTGTTTATTGTTTTCTTTTGCTTCATGCACACTAACCTCTCATATTTGATGTCTATTTTGCACCTTCTTATTGTAAGGGTTATCTGACTGACTGACTGACTTTCTACCCCACCAGGACATCACACAAGCGATAAACACCCGATGACACAAAGTGCCACCATATGGATGAGGATCGCCGTGGAGAGGTCCCAGAAACCGCGTTCAGACATTTGGCCATATTTATGGCCTGCCTATATTGCGGCCCCTGGCAAAAGCCAGAGTGGGGCTTCAAATAACAAAAAATTTCGTCCTAAAAAGGACGAAACTGAATAATTACCTGGCTAAGGGTTATCTCCCTTTCCAGCGGAGAACATGTCATAGAGTCAGTAATTAGAGGTATTTCCTTAAAGACGGAGTGCATATGCCAGAAGGTCGAGGAACCAAAGTCTGACAAATCTGTAATACAGATGTGCACAAAGTTCTGGAAAAAGCTTAAAGTTTAGAAGTGGACGAACAAGCAGAACTTTCTACCAGAGTATACAACCCTTGATTGCTAATAATAATAATAAGAGACTGTGTCTGATTTCATGATTATCTCCCTTGTGTTATAGATTGTGTGGAGCAAGATTTTTTTTTTCTGTTATGAAGAGGCATGGATAAAACTTGTAACGAGCATAATTCAAGGCAACTACACTAGCCAATGTGGCTTTAAATTTTCAGCTCACGTGAAAACACCCCTACCCAGTCGTATACTGCCCTAAAAGTGTTATTGCGACACAGTTTTTTATTATTCTGAAGCCCAACCCCGGCTTTTGCCGGGGGCCGTAATATTACCTAATGGTTGAACGTGGTTTCTGGGACCTCTTCACAGGTGATCCTCATCCGCATGGTGGCACTTTGTGACACCAGGTGTTTATCGCTCTGTGTGATGTCCTGGTGGGGTAAAATTTACTTACTATACTAGACTGACAGAAAGTCAAAGTAATCGATTAACAAAAATAATGATTAACAGAAAGTCAAAATGATGGTCTGGACATAACTCACATCCATATGTTAAGTCCACAACTCACATCCGTATGTTAAGTCCACAACTCACATCCGTATGTTAAGTCCACAATTCACATCCGTATGTTAAGTCCACAACTCACATCCGTATGTTAAGTCTACAACTCACATCCATATGTTGAGTCAACAACTCACATCCATATGTTGAGTCTGCAACTCATATCCGTACGTTGAGTCCACAACTCACATCCATATGTTAAGTCCACAACTCACATCCATATGTTGAGTCCACATCTGTATGTTGAGTCCACATCTCACATCCATATGTTGAGTCCACAACTCACATCCATATGTTGAGTCCACATCTCACATCCATATGTTAAGTCCACAACTCACATCCATATGTTAAGTCCACAACTCACATCCATATGTTGAGTCCACATCTCACATCTGTATGTTGAGTCCACATCTCACATCCAAATGTTGAGTCCACAACTCACATCCATATGTTGAGTCCACATCTCACTTCCATATGTTGAGTCCACATCTCACATCCATATGTTGAGTCCACAACTCACATCCATATGTTGAGTCCACATCCCACATCCATATGTTGAGTCCACATCTCACATCCATATGTTAAGTCCACAACTCACATCCATATGTTAAGTCCACAACTCACATCCATATGTTGAGTCCACATCTCACATCTGTATGTTGAGTCCACATCTCACATCCATATGTTGAGTCCACAACTCACATCCATATGTTGAGTCCACATCTCACATCCATATGTTGAGTCCACATCTCACATCCATATGTTAAGTCCACAACTCACATCCATATGTTAAGTCCACAACTCACATCCATATGTTGAGTCCACATCTCACATCCGTATGTTGAGTCCTCATCTCACATCCATATGTTGAGTCCACAACTCACATCCATATGTTGAGTCCACATCTCACATCCATTTGTTGAGTCCACATCTCACATCCATATGTTGAGTCCACATCTCACATCCATATGTTGAGTCCACATCTCACATCCATATGTTAAGTCCACAACTCATATCCGTATGTTGAGTCCACATCTCACATCCATATGTTAAGTCCACATCTCACATCCATATGTTGAGTCCACATCTCACATCCATTTGTTGAGTCCACATCTCACATCCATATGTTGAGTCCACATCTCACATCCATATGTTAAGTCCACATCTCACATCCATTTGTTGAGTCCACATCTCACATCCATATGTTAAGTCCACATCTCACATCCATTTGTTGAGTCCACATCTCACATCCATATGTTAAGTCCACATCTCACATCCATTTGTTGAGTCCACATCTCACATCCGTATGTTGAGTCCACATCTCACATCTGTATGTTGCTACAGGGAAGATGCATGCCCTCAACATTTAGACCTTGATTTCCTTGCTGGAGCTTAGCCATAGACTGTAATGCTGTCCACAAGGCACAAATATTCAACCGACATTATGAAAATTATCAGGAAGATAACATTTATTTCTTCAACTTACAGAAGGACGAATCCAGCTCAAGGATGTTAAGAATGCAGTATCCGCCTTGGACAGGGAGAAGACAATGGTATATATTTGTGGCCCTCTACCTTTCATTGAGAAAATGAAATCTTACTGCTTGGACTGTGATATTTCAGAGGATCGAGTTAATTTTGAGAAATGGTGGTGACACTACTGTTTTAACTATTTCATTTCTAGAAAGTTTGGCATCAAATGCCCGAAAGCAAGGATAATTACAGTGAAAATTGTATGAATTTATTACTTCCAAATTGGCAACATTGAATGTGCTGTATGTTTGAAAATCTAGCCAGATTTCCATAATCTGCTCAGACTGAACATTTAAATATATTACATACCAGGCAGTATGTGATACACTGTCAGTATATGATCATATGTTGGAAAATTATATGTGGCAGAAGGGGTTAATGTTGATGCTATTTTTGTTATTGTTGTTATTATATACTAAATAACTCAAGCGGTAACATTTTGTCAGTTGAAGAGCATTATTTGGAAGAAATCTCTGCTCATGGAAGTCGGAAAAGGATTTAGGATGTTATTAACCCTTTAGCCCCGAGAAGCCACTCAATTGACACATCTTGTTAGGTCCAGTTCCCTGTGAATGTCACTTTTCCAACTTATGGGTAGTGATCTGTTTACAAGTCATAGTTTATGTTATTGGCTGTTTTCCCATTTTCACAAGTTTTTAGGAGGTGAAGATATGAGTTCAATTCCCTGTGAATATCACTTTTCCAACTTAAAGGTAGTGATCTGTTTACAAGACACATAGTTAATGCTATTAGCTGGTTTCACGTTTTCACAAACGTTTAGTAGGTCAAGATATCAGTGATTGATTGGCACATTTCCATCTTTACAGACGATAGTGTTATTTTGCGCTATGGGGAGGCATGGGACTCACAGCCCCTGGCGATGGTGAGTGTAACACAGTAGAGGTCGGCCTCATTGTCTTCTACCCATCTTTAATTCACCATAGAGGATGTCCTAAAGGACTCTGCTATCCTCCATTTTCCAGGTGTGACCCAGCCATTTACAAGGTTTTCCTTTAAATCAAATGGTTTTCTTAAAGCAACGTTAATGCCAAATTGTCTGTGTCGTGGAATGATAAGCCATTACGCATCAGTCCGTAAGACTGGTAACTTGACCTACCTGTAATCGGCACAAAATTCAAACTTGGACTCGTCCGGAAAGATATAGTCCCTTATATCTATACATATATGCCTTTATTGGACAACATTATTATGTCTACATTTTCTAGTTGCTTTGACTAAACTCCACTTTTAAATGTATATATATTGGATATATATTAGAGGAGTTAATATAGGTTTCTTAGAAACCGATTTACTCCTTGCCCATGTATACTAGGAACTCCTTTTTTACCAACGCCTGAAGTGCGTAATTGGCGGCATTCTCTCTTGCCGGCTTCCAAGCGTCCAGACGTGTCTCTCGATGCCTGTATAATTCATTTGAAAAAGGCGATCTGGAATGTCTCGGACTTTTCATATGCTTGGGTAAGTTAATTATAGTTTACGAGTACCTAAAATGATGTCTGTTAAAGTAGTCACTGCTGTAGAGAGATCAGTATCGGCTGTGGGATCACACATAGTTCGATCGTTCTTGATCGCTAGAGAAGCGGATTCGAACGTAGACCTTCCTCTGTACAGACTAAATAGCTTATGCCCTAAATAACTCACCCATACTGGTAAACCTAATAACCTTACCAGTGTGTACTATTTAAACTAACAACAGAAGTTTGTGCATACAAAATGGGGACAGAATTAGGTCAGGACCTTGTCAGCCAGTGTGTGAGTGTGTTTGACCCAGATCAATGAATGGTAGGACTGGCTTTGGGAGTCGTAAGGAATAAAGGTACTGACAGTAAATATTGGTTTCTGTGTGCAGAGGGGAGGGGAGAGAGAGTGATATATGTGTTAGAATACTCTATCTATCTCCACTGTATATCCGACTTTCCTTCTCTTGCACTAAACAGACAGATGAATGATAGGGGACTTGTGTCTCCTGGTCTGGAGTGGCATTCTGAGGAATGAAACAGGGGGGCAAAGGTGGAGTAGGCAAATGGGATATGATGACTGATGCTTGTTCTGTCTTTCCTGTCAAGATGTTACCCTCTTGGTGATGACTAATTCTGAGTTATTTCTTGGCAGGATGAATCCTTTGTGAGGAGCTGGCAGAAGTTTCACAGTCCAACCAACACCCACCAACCATAAACCAACTATCAACCAACTACCCACCAACTAACACCTGTGAAGGTTTCTGACATCATCACTATGTGGGGGCATATATCCCAAACAGCCTACCAGTGCTAGAGCTTGGTGTAGCTCAAAGACAGTGTTGTGACCTGACTGGTGGGAGAGACTTGCTGAGTACCGGTACAGTTGCTGTGTCCTCTATGGTGAGGTACTCTTTCACTACCTGATCCAGTTGAGCAGAATTACCAGAGTCAAAGACAGTCGAATCATCAGGAGCTGAGGAAAGCATCATAGATGGAAAGAGGAGAAGCTAAGTTTGATGCCTTATGTGCTTTATTCCTCACAGCTCCTATGTTTCCCAAGGATGATAATGTGTCATCTCCAGGACCTTCTGTCTGTGTAGTATCTTTGTGATTTGGACAATATATCCTGAGATCTATCCACGGAGATCTGGCATCTGTTTCACTATTATATGTATATGTCATATTAATTACATGCATTCATTTTCATGGCTGACTTAGGTGTCTCTATTTCACCTTTTTAAGTGTTTAGCAGTTGTGTGTGTATGTATCTTCATTATATGTGTTAACATGGTTATGATAATGAACTATCATAACCTGGAGGCTTTCTTTAGCAAGTAGTGGGGGTGTCCAGCCCAGTGTGCCTAGGAATATTGTATTCATATACTGAGATATTTTGTAGTGCCAATACTTGAGTTGCCCAACTCCAGAAATAAGTTGAGCGTATATTGGCCACGGGGAATCCCTTAGAACAATACGAGCCAAACGACTCAACATAATTATCTCTGAGTGCTGCTGGTTCTGAAGGAGAAATCCTTACATCAGGCACGTGACAGGAGTGATATGTGACAGTCTGTACGCCTCAGTGATGGAGGTAACAGGGTCACAGCATGAATCACCCAATGCATGTTTCTTAAGGCCCCAGGGAATGTATTTCATTTATTGCTTTATCCTGTTCATGTTTATTGATTGCTCCCTTCAAATAATCATAATACATTTCAAAAACAAGTGTAAAATGTAGAAAAATTAATTTCCGACAAAATGTTTAGTGACCTGTGTAAAATTGTTATTTAACAGGTTATTTTCTGTAATGCAACCATTACTTTTTTTTTGGGGGGGGGGGGGGGGGGGGTGGGGGGGGGGGGGGGGGGGGGGGGGGGGGGGGGGGGGGGGGGGGGGGGAGGGAGGGGGTGTGGTTTCCTAATGGTAAAAGGGTTAGTGCCCACATTAAGGAGCCTAGATGGTTAGTGCACACCAGCCTAGACAGTGTTCTGGGTTCAATCCACAGAAGTGGCCAGACTTTTTATAGCTCAGCTTAGTCTCTTGAAAATGAGCACCATAGTTGTTTCCAGAATTTTCTGGGAAATATCAAGGGTGAAGTGATGAGGAAGGGAACTGGTCACAGTGATCAGTTTAACACCAGCCCTGGGTCTAAAGTGATGATTATGACTGTAAATATTGATTTTTTTAGGGTCACATTTTTATGTTGGTACATTAGCTGACAATGGGGAGCTGCAGTATCACATAGGCTGTCACAGTTGCCTCTCCATACACTAGACATGTGTTTGAGTCTCATTTGATGTAGTTTTTGTTTCTTACATTGACCTGCGCATTCACATGTACCTAGCTTTAAATGGCTTTAAGGAAATTTCCTGGGAAGTGTCGGATACTGGCTTCAGTTGATCACATGACCCAGTTATTCCAAAGATATGGGTAAAAGGTAAAGGTAAAGTCATTGCACATGGTTATAAACCATAAGTGCTCTGCCACCAGTACCGACTGCTGATAAGAAACTGTCCGCATTGTCGCCGTCCGCAGGCAACTCTGTAGCTACAGTGACCTTCCTCCATTTACCCCAGAGTGTCAACTCTGGTACCCATTTCCTAGAGGCTGGGGAAACCCGGATAACCGCCTGGTTTTTAACCCCGCGACCGTGGTATGCAACGAGTCGCAGCTGGATTTGAAAGCAAGTCTCCTATCGACTGCGCTGACTCTGCCGCTTATATAGGTTAGCACCATATACCAATTAATCTTTCAGGGACAAATATGGGTCAGTTTTTTTTAATCTAAGTACAAAACGTTTAAGAACAATCCATTGGCTCAGACGTCTTTTTCTTCTTCTTCTGCCTTTTATCCTTCAATGGAGCATAGACTCTCAACTAACTCAGTTGTTCTGTTATTGCTATTGCATGAAACTCACTCTGTATCATCCCTGACTTGTTAACTTCTTTCTCTAGCTCCCTTCTGTGTGTGTTTTTTTGGTCTGCTCTTATTTCTATGTCGGCTCTGTGGCTAAGTCGATGCGACCGCTTCGTAATGCGGGATGCCATGTTTGATCCCAGCTGCGGGCCATGCGCCTTGCGTTGGTTTCGACAGTGGAATCAAGAAAGCCAACCATCCAGAAAGTAATGGCAAACTACTGGACGTAAATTTGCCTAGAAAAACCACACAACAGCCAGGGGCTGTTGGGGTTGGTTCTGCAACATCCTGTAAAGGATACGCAACTTACCTTATTCCTATGTTCCTGTGGATCCAGTGCAATGACATAGGTATATTGTTCATAGTTTTTCTCAGTGTGTTTGCTACCAGAATATTTTCTTCATCGCTGGATTCACTGGAATTTGTTTTGTTCTCTAAAAGATAAATACAGGATATGTGAACCGGCGTCACTGCACACGGTTTTAAACCATAAAATAGATATAGACATAGATAGGCATTCGCAGTGACACCTAGTTCAACAGAATAAATTCTGCGTCCGCAAACACGTTTATGATGTGTTCGTCTGAACTTCTATGTTGTTTATTCATTGACCAGTTCCTTCACTAAGTTGAATGTCTTTTTCTTTGCGTTGCCTGACAGTAAACTCCGGTGGAAAGTTCTGACTGTTCGTCCACCTTCAGACTTTAGTCTTGTTCCAGAGCCTG